TCAATATGCTAAATTTCCAACTCATACTCGCACACGATGGTTAAGCCTTCTTCCATTGATTGAACGAATTTTACAGTTATGGGGTGGCTTAATATCACTAGTTCTATCAACGGATGTCATTCCAAAGGTTCTGGAAAATTTATTCTCTGATGATTCAAATGAAATCTACTTCTGGTTTCTACAGAGCTCATTGCAGCTGTTTTAGCAAACTTTGCTGATACTTGAAAAAAAAGACCTTGTGCTTCCTGAAATAATAGAATCTGTCGAAAATCTGTCACAAAAACTCACTGACAGGATGCAGAAAAATTTTTTTGGTGCTATGACTCAATCAAAGTTGCAATCATTAGAGGATTCTAATTTGGCTAATCGCATAGAAAAGGAGTTTTCAACATTTTATTCGACATCTGTTGATTACATTCAGAAGTGGTTCAGAATTACTGATTATCCGTCTTCTTCTAAGTGGTTAATGCTGAAATCTGTCGACACAATTTCGTATGAGGATATTCGAAAATCTGCAGAGTTTCTAATGCCAGAAATTTCTGTGAAAGATTCTCTGTTTGATGAAACGAGTCTTCTAATTTCACTGTTGAAAGGTTCAAAAGAAAGTTTCCACGAATTGCCCATTGATAAAAAATGGGCTGTTCTGTTTCAAAACGAACTGTTTTCAGATTTGAAGAAATTGGTATACACAATTTTTTCCATTCCTACTTCGAATACTGCTGTTGAGCGAATATTTTCATTATGTAAAAAACAATGGACTGATGATAGAAACTGCCTAAAAATTGATACTGTTAAAAGTTTACTACAGGTAAAGTTTAATTATTCTTTAACATGCTCTGAAATGTACACTTACTTGTTAAAAAACGATGACTTAATTAAGCAAATACAATCAAAAGATAAGTATGTTGGTTGATTTCAGTAGCATGCCGGAGATCAGAGACTTATACAAAAAATTGAGAAACTGCCGTATAGATTGAGTACTACAAGGAAGGAACGCTAGTATTTTTATTATATATATATATATATATATATATATATATATATATATATATATATATATATATATATATATATATATATATATATATATATATATATATATATATATATATATATATATATATATATATATATATATATATATATATATATATATATATATATATATATATATATATATATATATATATATATATATATATATATATATATATATATATATATATATATATATATATATATATATATATATATATATATATATATATATATATATATATATATATATATATATATATATATATATATATATATATATATATATATATATATATATATATATATATATATATATATATATATATATATA